CCCAGGCCTCTTCTGTGCTGTGGTCCGCAGCGAGGGGCGCGGTGGGTGCGGGCAGAGGCCGGTCCCCGTCCGCAGGGGGCCGCGGCCTACAGGTGCGGGCCAGCCCTGGGTGAGCCTGCGCCCGCCTTCTGCTTCCCGCGGAGCTCCGGTTTCCCTGCGGTGAGTCGTTGCCGTGCCCCGGAGCCGTGCAGGGCAGGCGGTGGGGCTCCGTGTTGTCTGGGCCGGGCTTTGGACCTTGCAGCCACGGGGAAGCCCTGGCTGGGCTTCCTGCCTTCAGTTCCCTTCCCAGGTCGATGTGGTTTAATTTAGGATCTGGTAGGATGTAGGAGGAGTTCGAATTTCCTCTCCTTCCTGTGCTCCTTGCTTTCGTTTCTTAGTACTAACCTTTATTTGTCATTGTCCCTAACCTTGTTTGGCTCCTTCTGGAGCACACTGGTCCTTCTGCCACCAATTATGAGTACCCTGAGCAACAGCAGACCTTGCCTGGAACGTGTGATGGATTAAGAGAAATAGCACTGTACTTCTGTAGCTTTGCCATCATTTTTGAAGGAGAGGAAGTGAAAACTCATCAAAGTGAACAGTTATTCAGATTTTCACCTTCCTGATGAAGCCACTGTTAATGTAATGCCTGGGGTAACGGCAGCATGGCTGACATTGCGTTGCCTGGGCCTTAAAGTTGAAATTCTTTGAGCTGTCGGGTGATGCTCAGCAGGTCTGATTCGGCTTTCCAGCCTCACACCAATATGCCTTAAAGCAGAAAGACCCCAAAAATTATCTTGAGGAACGGGTGTCCAAATCTGCGTCTTGGCATCATTTGCCTTCATGGCCTGCTCTGCCATATTCCATTTGGAAAATGCTGTCTGTGCATGCTCTCTGCATCACGTTTCATATGCCCTGGGTGAACGGTGATGGCTCTGGGGTAGGAGGTGACTGATGAGAGTTCTTTATCTCTGATTTTATCTTCCCTGTGTGTATGGCATTGAATACAAGCCAGCTGATTCTTTCCAGCATGTACCAGTAAGCTGTAATACATATATTATTTGCTATATTATTTTTTATAGAATCTCTTTAGCACTAAAAATTCATGCGTGGGGAAGGGCCTTGTAATTACGAGCTCTTTAATGCACAAAATGAACAAATTGAAACTTACTCTCTCATTTTATCTTTTAGATCAACACCTGTGTAGAGTGTTGTGAGTCTATGAAGCACCTTAGCAGTTTCTTTCACTCTTCCTAGAAGGCCAGGTGTCACAGGAGAGCTCCGTTCTTTTGTTACAAGAATTAAGTGGCATCCAGAAGCGGCAGTGGATTACCAACCTTCTGCTGAGTGGACGGCAGCACCATTAAAAATGTAATGTTTCAGAAAGCTCATTTTATTCTCATCATGTCCCTCTGCTCATGGCTGTTTCCGTGTTGATGTTTGAGTTTAAAGAGCATGAAGCTCCCAAAGGCCACGTGTTTGTGGTGGGCACAGTAGACAGGAACAAGCTGAGTAAGTTTCTGCAGCTGAGCCGTCTGAGTGAGTCTCTTAGATTCGCTTGGTGAAGGTTTTGAAGAATCAAAACTCTTCTTTTGAAAACATGGCTCAGATATGAAGCCGCTGTGTTGAGTTTGCCCCCACAGACTGCAGTGTGTTCTGGTGGGGTTTGTGCTCTATCACTCGGGCAGGGTCTTGCCGAGCTCCCTGTGGCTGCTCTGGGACTCGGATTAAGGAGCTGTGTAAGAGTCTGTTGGAAAATGCTAAGCTGCCTTTTGTGTCCTGGTGAAAGAGGTTGTAAGGAGAGGCTGCGTCATCAGATGTGGAATGATCTGAATCCAGAGTATGTGAGTTTTAACCTATCCTAATTTAGTCCTCCAAAAATATCTCTGACAACAAACACTGAGCAGCAAATAGGCAGCACGAGGGAAGCATGTCTGGTGGCTTGTTGGTTTAGTGTATGACCACTTCACGTGGCTTGCAAAATACATTCTTGTAACGTGCTTCTGAGCTGCTTAGGATTTTCTTTCTATAGACAGGAAATTATGGCAGAGAGGCACCTGAAATTGTCAGGGTGTGTTTGATAATTGAGAGCAGACCTCTATCTCCTATATTTCTTAATCGTAAGTTAACGCACAGTGAATATATTGCCTGCAAATTCCTGTAGTGACAAAAAGGAATTAGAACCTGGGGCCAAGCAGAAGGGTTCAGGACTGCAATTCCCATTTCCATGTAATTTGCAGCAGGAAGCAGTGCAGAGACTTACCGGTGATGCACGTTGCGTCAGAGAATGTTTTTTATATCGAAATACAATTTCCTGCAGCCTTCTTATTTACTCTGCAATTACTTTTGTTAGTAACAAAGTAAAAAAAAAAATTCTTAGAGTAACTTTTAAGTTACTTTAGTTTTAATTTTAAGAGTAATAGTATTTCTCGTTCAACAAAGATCTGCCCTGATCTGAATGTCTGCAAGTGCAAGGAGGCTGGGGAAGTCTCTGTTGTTTTCTGACATTATCTGATGAGTGCATTGTCATTTCATAATTCCCGGAATTTGGCACATGGAAAGCTTGGGGTGAAGCAGAGAGCAGTGAACAGGCTGCTGCTCATCACTCACATAACAACAATGGGTGTGTGGAAGGATGTTAAGATTATAAATCCTAAACACTCAAGAAGATCAAGATATTTCACTTATCTCTGCGAGTCCCAGAGGGAGAAATAAACTAGGAGATGGCTTTGAAAGTCTGCCTGGCCTTCGGGTGCAATGACAGTGAGACCGCAAGGCTTGGCTGAGCAAGGGGAGGCCCATCCTGTAGGGTGTGAAAAACACGATTGCCTCATTGTTCTTGCAAGACCTTCCGTTATTTTCAGTTTGTTTATTTGGTGACACTTTGCCAAATTTTGAAATGGGCAGAAACCTGGAATCACTGCTGTGTCTGGGCTGTAAATTCACTTGAAGGGCTTGGAGAACTCCTTCATTTCTTTGAAAGAAATACAATCCGATGCAAGCACATACGTTAATATTATTACTCGCATGGATGGACTGCTGCAGGATGGCTGTCTGATTAAGGAGAATCTGTGAATTAGCCAGGATAATTCCAGAACAAAGTTCTTACCTTTTCTGCATTAACTTCCAGCTTATAAAGCTTACAACAAATTCGGACTAGTGCTGACATGTGCTACTGGGGGCTGTTTAGAATCTGATGTGGTGATGATGGAAACACAATTGAGTTCCTGTATGTCTGTCTGGTAAACAATAAGCAAAGAAGCAAAGCAAAGTTGTTTTAAGTGAAGAACTGAGCTTTGCAAAGCAGTTGCTGGCGGGTGTCTGCTGCGCTGCCTCTCCTCCTGCTGGGGCTGCTTAAATGTGTTTTCCTTCTCTGCCTTCCTGCAGGTCTCTTCCTTCCTGGAAATTCAGCAAAGAGTTAGCGTTCCCAGGCTGCTGGATCTTTTCCATGTCAATGGATAATATTTGATATGTGCCCTGTAAATCCTGCCCTGGGACTCTGTGACCGGTGGGGTGCCTGATGCCTGTAATCCCCATTCCCCGCCGGGTCCGTTCGTTCCACGGCCCCCACACGACCTGCCTGCATTCGGCCTGTGGCCCGGTGAGGACCACTCACTTGGTGCGTACCAAGTACAACAACTTCGACATCTATCTCAAATCCCGATGGATGTACGGATTCATCCGTTTCCTGCTGTACTTCAGCTGCAGCCTCTTTACCTCCATCCTCTGGGTGGCACTCTCCATCTTGTTTTGCCTTCAGTACCTCGGCATCCGGATCTTTCTGCGTTTCCAGTACAAACTCTCCATCATCCTCCTCTTACTGGGGCGAAGGCGAGTAGACTTCAGCCTCATGAATGAACTGCTCATCTACGGAATTCATGTGACCATGCTGCTAGTGGGGGGGCTGGGATGGTGTTTCATGGTATTTGTGGATATGTAAATAAAACAAGCGCATGTGGGCTGAGAAGGTGACTTTTCTTCTACCACAGAATATGTGTCAATATCTTCTTTTCTTTTTTATAGAAATTAATTTATTTATCAGTGCTACTTTTTATTGATAAATGAACGTACGTGTCTCTGGAATTTGTATTTTCTTTGAGGGATTTGGTGCCATTTTGATTATCAAAGTGCAGCACTTACTGCGTGATTTTTCTTTGCGTAGTGCAAGTTAATATAAATTTCTTCTAGTCCACAGGAGCCAACCGTGCTGCTGTTCCTGTGGGCATAAAGAAGGCAATGATTTATCTGGAGGACAGAAGCCAGATAACTTTGCACACCACACTTTTAATCCATTTTCACCCTTTTCCTAAAAATGCTCCTTCGTGTGGCAGGCCAGTGTTACCCTTTCTCTGTGTAGTTTGCATTTTGCACATTCCCTGCTAAGAATATGGGGCCAAATTCAACAGAGTGGAGGGAGTTGGGTTCTGTTTGGTTGGTTTTTTTTCCTGTTTTGTGTTTAGATTTGTGCAAGATGTGCATTTGCCCCACTATACGGTCCTGTTCACTTTAATGTAATTCTATGGCTTTGAGTGGCTTTGTCCTTTTCAGGCAGTTAGTGCTGAGTAATTGAGTCTTACCCGAACAGAACAAATCCACGGGAGCGACGGGAGCGGAGTTTGGTATCACGTGCTTCTGAAATTCCCAGTCACACTAATACGTTATCATTTTGCAGTGATTAAGGGGAGCCCATTGCAGTGGTCCTTGGTGTCTGGGCCTTGGCATTTGGTTCTGCTTTTCCCTGAATTAATTAGTTCCAGTTTTCTCACAGAGATGCTCAAGGAGGGAGTTAAGCACTGAGCTCAGTTTTACTGGTCTTGATCTAAGATCTCACTGTTCCTCTGCAGTCAGTCAAGGAACTATTTATCACAGAATCACAGAATCCCAGAACGTTAGGGATTGGAAGGGACCTCCAAAGCTCATCCAGTCCAATCCCCCTGCCGGAGCAGGAACACCCAGATGAGGTTACACAGGAAGGCGTCCAGGCGGGTTTTGAATGTCTGCAGAGAAGGAGACTCCACAACCTCTCTGGGCAGCCTGGGCCAGGGCTCTGTCACCCTCACTGAGAAGAAGTTTCTTCTCAAATTTCAGTGGAACCTCCTGTGTTCCAGCTTGTGTCCATTACCCCTTGTCCTATCATTGTTTGTCACCGAGAAGAGCCTGGCTCCATCCTCGTGACACTCACCCTTTAAATATTTATGGAGTACAGAAGCTGGCCTAAAGTTTATTTTAATTCTGATTTTGTTGGTTTTTCCTTGTGTTCCTTGAAGAACTGTTTAAAAACAAGTTGGTAAAAATGATGGAGATAGCCCCCCCCCCCCAATGAAGTCATTGAAGTCAATCATAACAATAAGCAAGACTGGAAATATGTGACTGTTGTTTTATGATCTCTTTGGTCCGAGATATGAATGTGGTTGAGAACAAAGCCAGTTTGCACACAGGGAAGGATGCGTAGTATTTCAGCTTGTGAGTGTTGCAGTCTTTTGCTGACATACTTTGACTTGTAGGTTTATGGGTGCAGAATGGAGAAGCTTCTGTCTGAAGCCCAGAGCTAAAGCAAACCTAGAAATTATCTCATTATCAAGTGTTGGAGATAATGCAGACTGAACAGGCAGAGCTGAATAAATAACGGGCCATGGTGGTGTGAACTTTAGGTTAGCCCCGCGAGAGCCAAAGGCTCTTTCTGCAGGAAAGATGCCGTATCAGCGTATGTCACAAACTGGTGTCTGGAAGTTTCCTCCTCACTGCAGAGCTTTGTTCTGGGATCACTCTCCAGACTATGAGTTCTCAGCATCCCCCAGGTCTGAGCCACAGCTTGCTCTGTGTGCAGAGGGAATTCCCAGTAATTCCCAGCCCAGCGCTTTGCTCCCCAGTCCAGCTGTCAGCCTGGGGCATGTGCAGGCTGTGGGACTCTCGGGGTGGCTGTGCACATGAATTTCTGCAGAAAATGTGTTACAGATGGCCAGCAAACAGTCCTGGTGCGCAACGAGAGACCAGCCGGGACCCTAGCAAGGTACAGCCGGGAGCCACTTGCCCTTGGCAAGAGATAGAGTGGAGAAAGGCTGGAGGTTGGATGGTAGGACACTGTTTCACCTTGGGGTGAGCTGTATTTCAGCATTCTTTATAATGATGAGTAAAAGGGTGATTGGTGGTGTGTGTGGATGCTGCTGCACTCCCTTTCCTGTGCATGCTTCAGCTGGTGGGTGCTCATTGTGAGGAATACCCTCGACTGCTGGACCAAACCCATGGTATTTTGGTTCAGGCTCTGAAGGAAGTAAAGGTCTAGACTGTGACCGGGCCATGAACTTCTCTAGTCCCAGCCTGTTCTTTGAAAACCCACACAGGAACAGGGTGACATGGTGAGCTTTGATGTGCATGAGCTTGGAAACCGGAACACCGATCATGCGATTAACACATGAATAGCAGGTGCTTCTTCCAGGACTAATTTGGTCCAGGAACAAAGGAGGTTGTGGGTACAAGGAGCCTCCTTTTCCATCACATGTAATTTGACTGTGAGCCAACGGCTTTATTCCATAAATACGACAGACGAGGGTGCGCTTGTTTTGAGCTCTCCCTGCTTAGCAGCTGGTTGCGTGGCAGTGGTGTCCCCTTGAGTTGGGACATCTCTCGAGGTTACTCCTCGAGGCTGAGGGACCCCTTACCTTGGTGAGTGACCAATACTGTGCATAACCTTGTATTGCAGGGTGTTAAAATCTTGTATTGGTAACTTGGATTCATTATTATATCCTCTGTGCAGTACGTCATAGATTGACCCTTACCATTGGACTTTGTTAAGCCTCACTTCTAAGACACTTTACTTCAATAAAACCACTTTTGCTGGTACTTTTGGCAGTGGTTCTTCAGGCAGTCCAGATCTGCTCTGTGACACTCCTGCAGCAGCAGTTGAACACAGAAGGGTTTCCGCATTGCAGCTCATTGCTTTGCTGCACAGACTTCCCACCAGCCCTCTGCATCCAGATGCAATGGTGCACACTGAGGAAAAAGCACATGTCCTTATCAAATCACAAAAAAGTAATGTTTGCCAAATGTTTCTGAAGAGAGACCTTGGGCATCTGTTGCTTAGAAGACAGTGGGAAGTGAGTCCCCATTCTTCTTTTACAAAGGTAGCCAAGTACCTGCTGTCAGAATGCCCTGAATCCCAATTCTGCAATGGCACACAAAGACTGACAACCCCAAAAATTAAATAATTGAGGAGGAGACCCTGAAGGTGCTATGAGGTTCAAAATGCTCTGATTCCTGGTCGTTGCCAGCACTTTGCAATGCTTGGGTGGTGCAATCCTACCAGCACAGGGCAGGAAGTGAGGTCCCTTTGAAGTCAAGCTGGCAAGGAAGAGGAATTAATTTTGAAATGATTTGATTTATGATGTAATAATTTGTACGTTTTAGATCGTCATGGGTTGAGCAGTATTTGGCACCTTTATGGCACTTTTCTCTTGAAAGCGTTTTCCAACTGGAGCTAATTAAACCTCACAACATCCCCCGGAGATTGCTGAACAAGTAAGAACTTGGTAATGGTTCAGAATTTAAATTCAGTGTTTTTAAATTTGAGGGGTTTTTTTTTAAAGCTTTTAGGTTACTTTGCCAAAATATTTCTTCTTAAGGAGCTGAGATTCTGAAAGTTTCTTACAAGCTCAAGGGGAGCCAAGCCATAACTGAGAGAGGGAGAAAGAGGCAGCGTAAGTGTTATACTGAATATATGCAAAGAATAAGCGGGGATTTTCCCCCCCCCCATTTAGTTTAATTGAAAAATGCGGCATTTTTAATAAGGGGAGAGGGGGAACCCCAACTGCATAGAACACAACAAATATGGGAACAGCAAAAGCTGAACTTTCTGCTTTTCAAGAGTCAAACAAGCGGTTTATAAAGATATTTGCCAGAAATACTTCATGTCAAGCAGGTGCTTGCAAAATGTGCCCCACTGGCGACGCTCATATGCTTTGGGATTTTTTACTCTTTCCAAATTCGTCAGTGCTAGAAGGGATGGATCAGGCTCCAGAACGTGTTAAGTCTTCCCTTCTCACTATATGGATGGCTGCAACTCTCAAATCTTCTGAAATGATAATCTCGAAAAATGCCTGTCCCATCCTGAACAATGAGAGCACCTGGTTTCTTTTCTGTCATTTTAATTTTTTTAATTCTTTCCAAGTTTTGGCTTTAAATATTATACTTACTGGGTTAGAAGTGTACTCGAATTAGGAAAAACACTGGCAATACTGATTAGGGTGAGTGTGTCCATCCCAGACCCATGCCAGTTACTTTGGAGAGCTTCCCCCGTGCGTCCTGCTCGCTCCAGAGCTCTCCAGGCGTCTGAGTGACGGAGCGGCTCCGCTTGCATTGCATGGATTTAAGAGCAGGGATGATGGTACGTGAGGTGGCAAAGCTGCCGTGGCCTCTCCTTGAGCCTGCGAATGTACAAACGAGACGGAAGTGTTGGAGTTTCACCTTGTTAACTCCCCAAATCTTGACACCAGCTGGTGTTTTGGGTGCCTGTTAAATTCTGGATGAAACATGCCACCTACATTAAACTTTTCTTTTTTTTTAGCGTGTTGATGGATTGATGCATGTGAAGAAAAAGGAAGGATTTTGTCTTTTGCTGGTATCTTTCTCATGTGGGGATGTCCTAGATCCTCCTCCTCTCTTCGCACTGGTGCACACAGTCAGAGCAAGCGCATGGCAGAGGAGAACCAGGCCCTCAGTGGTTCGGCCTCACTGAGAATTGGGCAAAATGCCTCTTTTTACCTCCTTGAAGGGTCATTTAATGATGACCTAGGAGTGCAGCCAGGCTCCTAGGCTTGGGCTGTAGGGAGAAAACTGTATTGCCCACCATGGGTGTTTGAGTGATTTGAAGGAGCTGTCGCTTTGTGTTGAGGTGCACATCAATTAATTACAGGAAGGTGCTGTCTTCTTTACTTGTGTGGAGCTGAGCTTGCCATGCAGAGCTGTGTTGTTTCAGGACACCATCAGGATGATTCCTGTGGGAATAAAAAGGAATATGCCTACTACGATGGACTTTAATTCCCATTGTT